GTTAGGCTTGGTTTCCTTGCAATTTGTCTTCTGTGAATTGTTTATTTTTATCTTTTCCCCATTAGTCTGTTGGGCTTTCTCTTAGGGATTTAGGAGCTTAAAAAAATTTATATCCTAATCCTTCATCCGTTTTATGTCACCAATATCTTCTTTGGTGTCTTGTTTATCTTTTCAGTTTGTTTATGTTATTAATTTTGATGGAAAAAATTATCAACCCTTTCCTTTATGGCTCATGTCTGTTAGAACAGCCATGCTGACTCGTGCTGCCGTAGGCATATTCACGGTGGATTTCGTTTTGTCATTTTCATTGTTTAAGGTTTGAAATTGTTAGTGGGAAATTCAGGTAGAATTATGTAAATAGCAGGTGATGCCTCAGAATGGAGTGGGAGTCAAAATGTACACTCAGACTATAGATTGGGGGCTTCTCAGAGAAGAGGAGATGATTGAAACCAGTGGCATACATAATACTGTCCAGAGAAAGCAGGTAAAGTCAAAGAGAAGTGGGCCAGAGAAGTTATCAAGGAGGTAACTTTACAGAGCAGCAACCACGTTTTATTCACATTCATATTCCTAGAACTCAATGTGGTGCCTGTCCATAGTGACATTCATCAATCCAACACATACTCATCTATAAATCTATAAATCTGCTAATAAATCTATAAAGGCTTGCAGAGTGAATACATTTTAAAATCTTCCTCCTTCCTTGAATCAATTTGCCCAAGCACATCTTACAAATGAGTGAGCATTGTGAGAAGGTGCAGTGACCGTTTTGCTTACACTGTATTACCAAAGCTGGAACCCTGGCTTCAGGTTCGCCTTCGTTTGGTCCTGGACCTTTAAACAAACCCCCGTGGCATCTGTGAAGTCATAGCTGGAGGAAAAGTGTGATAGTTGAGATAGTTGACCTGCACAACGGTGCTGATTTGAGATGAATTTGGAGAGTATCCACAAATGCCAACTTTTCTTTAATGATCCTGTAACTACCCTGGAGGCTTCATATTGGTCATTGTTCTCCTGACATTAGTTATTTCGTGGACTTGTGAAGCACCTTTCCCTGAACTGTCAATCTACAAATTGTCTGTAAAATCTATTCCATGCGGTAAAGGAACAGAATTATTCATAAGGAAGTGACTGCCTCAGCTTCTGGTGAAATGACTCACTCAGGGTATAATTAAGTCATAGGCACACTGGCCTGAATGTGGCTGAAGCTGGAAAGGAAATCATTCCTTTTCCAATTTGGGGGCTTTCTGATGTTTGACAAGCCTCTGGAAAATTCAGAATCCCCTGTAAAGGAGAATTTCTTTCTTTCTTTCTTTTTTTTTTTTTTTTTTTTTTTTTTTAGGAGAATTGGAGAATAACTAATGGGAGGGAAAGAATAGGAAGAACTGGAAAAGCTTAAGGTTGTCAACAGGATGACAACACAGAGATCTAATAGGTAAAAACGAAGTAACAAAGTGGAAGCCTCAAAGAGTGAAAGCAGCTAACACAAGGGTTAGGTGATGTGGTTCTAGACTGCGTGGGCACAGGGTGTGTTGAGAGAGGGGCAAAGACAGGGTGGACCACCAGCTGGTCTACCTCCTTTGCCATGTACAGGAGCCTTGAAGGAGGGGTCCGTACTGGCAGTCCCCTCTGTCTGCCCATGCTGTTTGTTCTCCAGAGATTGAGTGTGGACATGGCTTGGTGAGATGACATGCAGGCTAAGAAAATACCAACACTCGGGTGTTGCAGACAAATCAAAATTTATTGAGACAGACAGAAATGCACCTACTCAGGACTACAGTTAAGCATTTACTATTAACCAAAGAGTCGTGTTCACATTCCAGAGAAGTCTACATGGAAAAGCATTCAGAATTTACTAGATTTTTCTACATCACTATTTCATCTACAATAGGGACAACAAAATGACACTCAGGATTTGGTGGGCTCTCATTACAATGCTACACATTGAACAGGGACAAACAGTAACTTTGAGAAAAAGGTATAAAAAGACCAAAACCACCCACTGTAGAAAGGGCTCTTAGATGTTACTGTACAATGTGGTCAAGGTGGGGGGGGAAAAAGTGTGGCATTCTGGGAAAAGTAGAGGGGCAGACCTGGACAGACACATAGTCATTCACTGCTGGGTGTGGGGAAATGGGCATAAAGAAGGGGAAACTGATAACAAAATCTCAGATTGAGTAGTAAGGTATTCCCATGCCTAGAATATCTGTGGAAACAAAAAGACATTATTATGGCAGACAACTAACCATGGTGAAAGAAAATTTGGGATTTAAGGTGGATGCTGAGGAAACAGTATTAAATAAAAGAACCATGTGTGGAATAAGAATAAGTGCTATTTACTAGAGAGTTTCCAGAAATGAGTGAGGATTCAGTTCAATACCTGTCTCAAAAATGGGGATGGATTATCATGGTACTATTTTTGTTTAATCAAGATTTTTATGTATACTTAGTTGCTAACAAAAGGACTCCTGCCCAAAAAGGGGAAATCACAAATTCTACTTCTAAAGATAAGGTAACTAGAAAATCAAATCTTTAGTACTTGTGAAAAGTAGTAAAGCCCTTTAAAAATCTAATGCTGTCATGCCAAAGTGAGGCATGAAAAGTGGTATTAATGTTGCTCCATTGATTTGGGGTCCCAGTCTTAGGAGGGCTTTTTATTTACTATTTTAATGATTCAAAACATCTTCCTGGAATATCTTTGAAAACGAGCATCTTGTTACCTTACTGGGAACTGACTGCTGAGCCCACTCTTCTCCACCATTAAGTTAATGCTAAGAATCTTTAAGTGTCATCTTAATTTGATACTTGTCATAAGATAATTAGGCAAATTAGAATCAGTGGTTCTCTGTTCCTGGAAGTTTTTCTGAGTGAAATCAATTTGTCGCTTTTAATTTGTTCTCTTGTGCATTTTTCCAAGCTCAGAGGAGACAGTAACGATGGTTTTCTTTGATGGTCTAAACTGAAAATTTTTAATATGTCTTGATTCTTTTATATACTCTATTATAATTTAGCTGCAGTTAAGCACCTGTTTTCTAAATTACCATCTCAGTGTTTTGTTCAAGTGAAGAAAAACAATTGAAAGAGAGGTGATGGAGTTGACATCCCAATACAGAGCTTGCCTCTGTTCTCTACCTAGGGTCCTGGTGGTACCCGTGTCTATCAGGCCAAAGAAGTTGACTGTATCACGTATGTTCATTTCCCATCTGAGACTAAGTCTAGGAATGATGCCACCGTGGCCAATGCTAGGGCTGCAAAATGCTGGTTTGAAGGCAGCTTGGTAAAATACAAATATATGGTCAATTTGAGAGGGTAGGTGTTGGTCAGCTGCCGCTATGACCATGGTTTGGCTGAGTATATTTTTTTGCCTGAGTTTATGTGGTTGTCTTATGGACGGGCTGGAGCTCAGGAGGAAAGGAAGATAAACCAACGTGGGCCACAGAGCCTTGCTGGGGGGCTGATGAGGGTCACAGGTAATTGGAAACCAGGTAGGACAGGAGCTTAAGGGTCTGAAGTACTGGACTAAATGGGGCCACTCACTTCGAAGACTACTCTTTGGTGCTTGTATCTGAGCCAGCTTGATAGGGACAGAAATCCTTAAAACAATAGAGAGGCTGACCCTACCAAATTCAGAGACAGACTGTAATCATGAGCTTACTTAGGGAAAAGAAACACTGGTGGAGGGCTTGCTTCAGGAGTAGCTCTTAGAAATCCAACCTAGCTTCTAGGCGCTATGATGAAGTTCTTTTTAGCCTCCCTTTGGGATTTTTTTAAATAAATGATGAGTGGTATAAAATCTGTACAGCTTGTGTACCCTCGCTATGATTTGTGGATAGAAATGGGGCAAAGCAAAACATGAGATTAAGAATCCTGAATTTTCTTCTGCAAAGGAACACTGTGGTATTGTCATCTCAGGGAGCAGAGGATGTGTATCCATGCCTTGGGAAAAGCCCTTGCGTCGGCAGGGAAAGTGAGAACCTGTGGCAGACAGGATTGCTGCAGCCCTGGGGGCGGGGGTGGGGGGGACGCTTTGAGCTGAAATGAAAAAGATGGCTTGTGAAGTTGCCCATGTGGGAGTCTCATGGCTTCTGCAAGGAAAGTGATTTAGGCGGACAGAGGCTTAGCCAAATCAAAGGGCTTCCCGTGACTCTCCTAATGCATAGGGAAAGGAACCTCCTCAGCCTGCAGGCTACAAGTGCTAACTCTTAGTGCAAAGAAAGGACTTCTGATACTGATTTCTTATTCCAGAAATTCTGATCCAGGTCTGGACAGCTGACAAATTTATAACTGTTTTTCAAATGAGTTTCTAGAAGATCCTGAAGCGCTTTTTCTGAGTGGTGTGTGTGTGGTCTTGTACACACAATCTACTCTGTACACACAGACATCTTTATGCATGTACAGAGGAGCATCCAGACACCCTTGTTAATAAAGGAAATCAATTCCCCGAAGGAACTCTTGACTGAATTAAGGCTGTTGTTTGTAGGAAGCCAGATAGTGATATGAAAAACTAATTTTTAATTATTAACACGAGGGGTGGTGGGGATAGGGCAGAAGAAAGTACAGTGTGGTGTGTTTTCCACGACATCTACAGGACACAAGAAAAGCACTTAGACACCGGAAGGCCGGGAACCATGCTGGAATGACCACTGGTGTGGGTAATCGAAAAGCATCTTGGACGTTTACAAGGTGGGGGCTCCCTGCACAGTCAGAATCCCACATACATCACATGCTCATTGCAAAAATCTCACGGGAGGGAAGGAGGCTTTAATTGAGACAGCCGCTTCCCTGTCTAAAAAAACAAAACACAACACCCTTCTTCCCACACAACTGTATGCAAGACCAGAATGCTCTGGGGACAAGGAGTGGTCTTCCAAACCTCGGGTCAGGTACAGAGAGCAACAATGGAGAAGAGGCCTTGGTGCTGTGGAGTCTTAGATACAAATGCAGGAGTAGGAAGTGACTTGCAATTCTGTGCAAACCTCGTGTCCTCTTCCTCGTGGGGACTACCATATGTAGCCCACCTCGTCCTCTTTGTCGTCGTCCTCATCCTCATCATCCTCTGTCACTGCCCGGGTGTGCACCCTCAGCTTCCCCAATGTGTCCTTTGGTCCCAGCTCCCGCTCATCCTCTAGGTCATCTAGCAGGACCACAGAGCCGCCACTGCCAAAATCCCCTGAAGTCTCCTGCTCCTCTTCTGAAAGAAGAAGGAAGAAAAGATGGGAGGTTAGTTGCTGCTTATACCTCTGGACCATCGGAGTGGTTCCTTTTCATGCGACTTAAGTGTAGGGAGAAAGCATGCAATTTACTCTCTGAATATTAGAGCATCTCTGCCTGGATGGGGTTCGTCAACGTGGCATAGGCTGAAAGCTTTGTGAACCCCGGAGGTCTGGAGATGCTTCTGCCTTCTTGGTGGAACCTTGGGAGGTTTATCGAAGTCATTCTTTGTCAAAAAATGTGATCCAATCCCCCGGTCACGGGGAGTTCCTGCCACTCATAAAGCTAGCTACGCCTAATCTCACGTGATTTCAGGGTGAATGCGTCTCCACTGTAAACTTGTTCACTGTAGACCACAGATACGTCTCGAGATTCTTCTGCCCAGATCTTTATACGGTCAACACCTGCCAGTCAACAGAGGTCACTGTGGGGCTGACGCAGAGGGCCCTACTCACCGCAGCTCACGGCGCCCTGTTTCCTGGAGCCGGCCAGCTCGTTGCCGTATTTATCCACACACCAGCACTGCCCAGTGCTGCCGTGGCATTGTGTGGCTTTGTAATAGCCCTCCTCGTTGCACCGAGGGATGAATGCTCCTGAGGGGGGAAACAGTCCAGTTTGAATCAGACGTGCACGGGTACTCAGGGTTAATGCCCCCCCCCCCTCCCCGAGAGGAGAGGGCTTAGCACATCAGATGGGATTTCCTGCAGAGCTAGCGGGGGGGGAAAGCAGTGGCTGGTGATTACTTAGTCGAGATCTACAGGGTCCTGGATTGGCTCAAGGTGAGACAGGATCCCTTCTTGGGTGAGTTCTTATTTTTCCCTTTAAAATATGAATGGGTACTACTCTTAGTAACAATTTCTTTACCGTTTCCCAGTTTTATGGAGCTAGGAGTGAGATGTAGCACCATGGAATGTGCAGTGCACAGCACAATTTGACTTACATATGCTGTCAAATGATTACTGAAGTGTAATTAACATCTGTCTTTCCTTTGCGATGAGAACTCTTAGGATTTACTACTAACAACTTTGATATGTTCCATACAGCAGTGTTGTCTATGGTCCTCATGCTGTACATTAAATTCCTGGTACGTACTTGTCTTACAACTCGAAGTTTGTACCTTTTGACCACCTTCCTCCAATTCTCCCTACCTATGGTAACCACCAGTTGGATGTCCTTTCCTCTGAGTTGTTGTTTTGGGTTCCAGATCATATGCTAGTTGTCTGACTGACTTCACTTAGCATCTTGTCTTCAAGGTCATTCCATGTTGTCACAATTGGCAGGCCTTCCTTCTCTTTTATGGTATACAGTAGTCTATTTTGTATACAAACACACACACTAATTTCTTTATAACATATAACAAGATATGTTTCTATATCTTGGCTATTTTAAATAACACTGCCATGATCATGTGGGTGCAGCTTTCTGAGAAGTGGAATTGCTGGATTATATGGTAGTTTTTTAAAAAAAAATTTATTTTATTATGTTATGTTAATCACCATACATTACATCAGTTTTTTTTTTTTAAACATTTTATTTATTTATTTGAGAGAGAGAATGAGAGACAGAGAGCATGAGAGGGAGAAGGGTCAGAGGGAGAAGCAGACTCCCTGCCGAGCAGAGAGCCTGATGCGGGACTCGATCCCGGGACTCCAGGATCATGACCTGAGCCGAAGGCAGTCACTTAACCAACTGAGCCACCCAGGCGCCCCACATCATTAGTTTTTGATGTAGTGTTCCATAAGTCATTGTTTGTGTATAACACCCAGTGCTCCATTCAGTATGTGCCCTTTTAATACCCATCACTAGGCTAACCCATCCCCCCACCCCCCTCCCCTCTAGAACCCTCATTTTCTTTCTCAGAGACCATAGTCTCTCATGGTTCATCTCCCCCACCGATTTCCCCCCTTCATTCCTCCCTTCCTACTATCTTCTTTTTTTTTTTAACATATGTATTATTTGTTTCAGAGGTACAGGTCTGTGATTCAACAGTCTTACACAATTCACAGTGCTCACCATAGCACATACCCTCCCCAATGTCTATCACCCAGACACCCCATCCCTCCCACCCCCCACCACTCCAGCAACCCTCAGTTTGTTTCCTGAGATTAAGAATTCCTCATATCCGTGAGATCATATGATACATGTCTTTCTCTGATTGACTTATTTCGCTTAGCATAATACCCTCTAGTTCCATCCACACCATTGCAAATGGCAAGATTTCAGTTTTTTTGATGGCTGCATAATATTCCATTGTATATATACACCATATCTTCTTTATCCATTCATCTGTCAATGGACATCTTGGCTCTTTCCATAGTTTGGCTATTGTGGACATTGCTGCTATAAACATCAGGGTGCATGTACCTCTTCGGATCCCTACATTTGTATCTTTGGGGTAAATACCCAGTGGTGCAATTGCTGGGTCGTAGGGTAGCTCTATTTTCAACTTTTTGAGGAACCTCCATTCTGTTTCCCAGAGTGGCTGCACCAGCTTGCATTCCCACCAACAGCGTAGGAGGGTTCGCCTTTCTCTGCATCTCCGCCAACATCTGTCATTTCCTGACTTGTTAATTTAAGCCATTCTGACTGGTGTGAGGTGGTATCTCATTGAGGTTTTGATTTGGATTTCCCTGATGCTGAGCGATGTTGAGCACGTTTTCATGTGTCTGTTGGCCATTTGGATGTCTTCTTTGGAGAAATGTCTGTTCATGTCTTCTGCCCATTTCTTGATTGGATCATTTGTTCTTTGGGTGTTAAGTTTCATAAGTTCTGTATAGATTTGGATACTAGCCCTTTATCTGATATGTCATTTGCAAATATCTTCCCCCATTCTGTCAGTTGTCTTTTGGTTTTCTTGACTGTTTCCTTTGCTGTGCAAAAGCTTTTTATCTTGATGAAGTCCCAATAGTTCATTTTTGCCCTTGCTTCCCTTGCCTTTGGCGATGTTTCTAGGAAGAAGTTGCTGCGCTGAGGTCAAAGAGGTTGCTGCCTGTGTCCTCCTTTAGGATTTTGATGGACTCCTGTCTCACATTGAGGTCTTTCATCCATTTTGAGTCTGTTTTTGTGTGTGGTGTAAGGAAATGGTCCAATTTCATTCTTCAGCATGTGGCTGTCCAATTTTCCCAACACCATTTGTTGAAGACACTGTCTTTTTTCCATTGGACATTCTTTCCTGCTTTGTCAAAGATGAGTTGACCATAGAGTTGAGGGTCCATTTCTGGGCTCTCTATTCTGTTCCATTGATCTATGTGTCTGTTTTTGTGCCAGTACCATACTGTCTTGATGATGACAGCTTTGTAATAGAGCTTGAAGTCAGGCATTGTGGTGCCCCCAGCTTTGCTTTTCTTTTTCAACATTCCTCTGGCTATGCGGGGTCTTTTCTGGTTCCATACCAATTTAAGGATTATTTGTTCCATTTCGTTTAAAAAAGTGGATGGTATTTTGATAGGCATTGCATTAAATGTGTAGATTGCTCTAGGTAGCATTGACATCTTCACAATATTTGTTCTTCCAATCCATGAGCATGGAACACTCTCCCATTTCTTTATGTCTTCCTCAATTTCTTTCATGAGTATTTTACAGTTTTCTGAGTACAGATTCTTTGCCTCTTTGGTTAGACTTATTCCTAGGTATATTATGGTTTTGGATGCAATTGTAAATGGGATCGACTCCTTAATTTCTCTTTCTTTTGTCTTGCTGTTGGTGTATAGGAATGCCACTGATTTCTGTGCACTGATTTTATATCCTGCCACTTGACTGAATTCCTGTATGAGTTCTAGCAGTTTTGGGGTGGAGTCTTTTGGGTTTTCCACATAAAGTATCATATCATCTGCAAAGAGTGAGAGTTTGACTTCTTCTTTGCCAATTTGGATGCCTTTGATTTCTTTTTGTTGTCTGGTTGCTGTGGCTAGGACTTCTAGTACTATATTGAATAGCATTGGTGATAGTGGACATCCCTGCCACGTTCCTGACCTTAGGGGGAAAGCTCTCAGTTTTTCCCCATTGAGAATGATATTCACTGTGGGCTTTCCATAGATGGCTTTTATGATATTAAGGTATGTACCCTCTATCCCTACACTGTAAAGAGTTTTAATCAAGAAAGGATGCTGTACTTTGTCAAATGCTTTTTCTGCATCTATTGAGAGGATCATATGGTTCTTGTTCTTTTTTTTATTAACGTATTGTATCACGCTGATTGATTTGTGGATGTTGAACCAACCTTGCAGCCCAGGGATAAATCCCACTTGGTCGTGGTGAATGATCCTTTAAATGTACTGTTGGATCCTACTGGCTAATATTTTGGTGAGAATTTTTGCATCCATGTTCATCAGGGATATTGGTCTGTAATTCTCCTTTTTGATGGGGGTCTTTGTCTGGTTTGGGGATCAAGGTAATGCTGGCCTCATAAAACGAGTTTGGAAGTTTTCCTTCCATTTCTATTTTTTTGGAACAGTTTCAGAAGAATAGGTATTAATTCTTCTTTAAATGTTTGGTACAATTTCCCTGGGGAAGCCATCTGGCCCTGGCCTCTTGTTTGTTAGGAGATTTTTGATTTCTGTTTCAGTTTCCTTAGTGGTTATGGCTCTGTTCAGGTTTTCTGTTTCTTCCTGGTTCAATTTTGGTAGTTTATACATCTCTAGGAATGCACCCATTTCTTCCAGATTCTGTAATTTGCTGGCATATAGTTGCTCATAATATGTTCTTGTAATTGTTTGTATTTCTTTGGTGTTGGTTGTGATCTCCTCTTTCATTCATGATTTTATTTATTTGGGTCATTTTTCTTTTTGGTAAGTCTGGCCAGGGGTTTATCAAACTTACTAATTCTTTCAAAGAACCAACTCCCAGTTTCGTTGATCTGTTCTGTTCTTTTGGTTTCTATTTCATTGATTTCTGCTCTGATCTTTGTTATTTCTCTTCTCCTGCTGGGTTTAAGCTTTATTTCTTTTTTCTTTTTCTTTTTCTTTTTTAATTTTATTATGTTATGTTAGTCACTATACATCATTAATTTTTTTTTAAAGATTTTATTTATTTATTTGAGACAGAGAGAATGAGAGAGACAGAGAGCACATGAGAGGGGGGAGGGTCAGAGGGAGAAGCAGGCTCCCTGCGGAGCAGGGAGCCCGATGCGGGACTCGATCCTGGGACTCCAGGATCATGACCTGAGCCGAAGGCAGTCGCTTAACCAACTGAGCCACCCAGGCGCCCAGTATACATCATTAATTTTTGATGTGGTGATCCATGATCCATTGTTTTCGTATAACACCCAGTGCTCCATGCAGTACGTGCACTCCTTAATACCCATCACTGGGCTAACCAATCCCCCTCCCTCCTCCCCTCTAAAACCCTGTTTGTCTCTCAGGGTCCATAGTCTCTCATGGTTCATCTCTCCCTCCAATTCCCTCCCACTTCATTTTTCCCTTTCTTCTCCTAATGTCCTCCATGCTATTCCTTATGTTCCACAAATAAGTGAAACCATATGATAATTGACTTTCTCTGCTTGACTAATTTCACTTAGCATAATCTCCTCCAGTCCCATCCATGTTGATGTAAAAGTCGGGTATTCATCCTTTCTAATGGCTGAGTAATATTCCAT